ATATACAGGAATATTAAACTAGCAGAGCAATGAAATTATTACTTCTCTGTGTCTGAACCTGCTGCTGTGATTAACCTATTTACAGAAAACACTCTCACCGCTTTCTTTCCACTCATGCAACCTGCGGTTACAAATATGAACACACAGGATCAGTGCACACAGATACTATAACTGTATTTAAAAGCATTTGCAATATTTATAGTGCAGAAAAAAGTTAAGATGTGCTCATAGGAACGGAGGTATGTAATGCAGAATATACAAATTGTATAGTAAATTGTAAAGTATATGCAATGTGTTTGTGCAAAAGCAAACATGCAAAAATATTCTGCAATGCAGGATTGCATGAAGTCCTTGGATTGGTGTTCATCAGGCTCATGGCTTGAGGCAAGAAACTGATGAACAAGTAACAATCAGAATATACTTAGAAAACCATGAAATTATACCTGTAAAGTCCAAGTGATAAATAAAAGATTTTTTACCACTAATTTAACCTGAAAATGTTGCTCTGAATACAGCAAAGAGTTTCTGCACTTTTAGTTTCAGCCACATTCTGCAGCAGGACTTCAAACATCCTGAGAAGTCCTGCAACAGATGGTTTGAACCCAGCAGAGTCCTGATATTAACATCATGGAGTCAGTCTGGGTTTACAGAAAGCCACAGTGAGGAATTAAGTTCTCCAACATGCTCTAAGAACCACCTGCCTGGAATTTGTTGCACGTTTATCACTGCACAAAAAACAATACACACACTTATTTTATTGTATATTTTAATTACTTGCGTCAGTTTATATGAGCAGATCTGAACTGTTTCTAAATATTGCACATGCTGTTTAATGCTGTTTTCTATACAGAAGCTTTCCGGTGGTGTTGTTCAGTATTTTGTTTGATGATCAATAAATATCATTTCTGACATTATTTTATCAAACGACCCTCACAAAACTCTGCTCTCATGTCTGTAATCTGTCTAAATTATATTCTACAAAATCAACACAAGAAGCAGTTGCAGCATTCCTGTGAGCTGACTGTCCACTGCCTCCCTGCAGCTCCTCTTGCTCTCATATGAGTCTGACAGCAGGCCTCCTGACAGCAGCGTTAAAGCCTCGGCTCGGTCGTGCTGGACATTAGCCCGCATTACTCCCCCGAATAAAAGCTGATTTGAGGAAGAGCAGCTGAGAGGAATTCCTTCTCGCTTTAATTGCTTTAGAAACGGTTCCCACAAAGAGACACTGGACAGATTTACCTCCAGTTTAAGTTCTTATTTCCATCGGTTCACAAGTTAATCCGATTTTTTTTCTTCTTCTTCTTCTTCTCTGGGCCCAAAATGCTCTGCAGCTCCACTGACATTAAAAAAAAAAGAAAAGAGAGAAGAAAAGAAAAATAAGGTGAGAAAAAAGGTTTATTTTTTTCATTAACTACAAACAGGCTGCTCACTGGTGACCACTTGTTGCTGCAGAATATTCATTTATTTTGCTGGTTTTGTATTTTTTTAAAAACTCAACAGAAGAAAATGAAACAGCAGCTCCATGAATTAACCTTTAAGCAGCACATTTGTTCTTTTCACACTCTGTTTTTCTTTTCAGGAGTCTAAAGTTCTGGGAATGAATGTGACCAAAGATCAAATTTAGGATTTGAACCCCCCTCCTCTCCTCCTCCTGCTTCTCCTCAGTCTCAGAGAAAATTCCAACAAAATATGCAAGCTTTACATTAAAAGGCTACTTTCGCTGCCCTTAATTCCAGCCTAAACGGTTTTTCTTCGGAAGAAGAAATCTTTTCTAAAAACCTTGAAGAAGAAGAGAGGGGCATTATTGTTTTAATCCTCTTACCAGCAGTCATTTTAAGACATTTTTTGGAGGGTGAAATGGCGTCTTGTCTACCCCAATCCTAACCTAAATCCCTCGGGGCCGCGGAGCTGCTGGAGGCAGCGCAGCCCAGCCTGCATCCCTCCATCTCTGCTGCATTTCCCACCGAAAAAGACGCACCGAGGCAGCAGGAAAATAAAATTAAAGCGCAGGAATTAACCCCAAAGTCGCCGTGCTGAAGTCACTGCGAGGGAGCAGGAAGAGGCCACTACTTACTATTTGCATATGATTTAATTAAGACCTGTGGGATGGAGCTTATTTCTTTCTTTGTTTTGTGTTTTTTTTTTTTTTTTTTTGTGGCTGAATTTAAGCATTTTAATGAGTTTGCTAAGCTGAAGCAAATATTTACTCTCTTATTTATTATTATCAATATTGTTTAAACCTGAAATCAATCCAAAAAGCACTATAGCATGGCCAACAATTTATAGTTAAGTGTCTATTAGCAGTTTAATAGCTTCATTCTATTGCCTGGTTAATGCAACTTTAAACTACTAAGTTAGAAAAATAAATACAATTAAGGTAAAATAAATAAATCCAGTGTCCCCCTATAAACTTATGAACCTCATATTCAGCAACACGTATTACTGAGCTTATCCCTTCATAGAAATAATACCATATTTCAGACAACTGCAACAAAATTGTTAATATTTTATTTTTCCTTTATGTCAAACTGTGCGTAAAAACAGTTGGTTGAAGTGTTAACCTAATTTGCATTAAGGTGCAAGTTCCTCAACTAAACAAATAGCACACATTATGATAACTACAGCCTCTAAAATGGGAATAATAAGTTGATCAACATGAGTAGAATAATAGTTGTCATGCATGTGTATTTTTAAACATATGAAATACGGTCTCGGCAGCTCGGACGCAGCGTTTATCCATAAAGTGAGGAGTGTGGAGAAGAAGGAGGGGAGGAGTGGAGCTGGGGGGGGGAGGAAGGAAAAGCGCCGTGATTGGCACAGAGACGGAGCGTCGGCGCGTCCCGGTGACCCCACCCGGTGCGCTTTAAAGGCCGAGAGATGGCAGCTCGGCGTCCTCCAGCACAACCAGACAGAGGCGAGCCGGAGCGCACGGGGCGCACAGAACGCACGGAATATTCTCAGGATAACGAAAAACACCAATGACATTTGATTTTATTTTTAAAAAAGGAAAGATGAACAACCGTCTGCGGATTTTTGAGCAGAAGATTTGAAAAAAACAGACGAATATTGGCGGAGATATTTGGCTTCAGGTCGCACCGAGGAGAGGAGGTAAGAAGTTTGGAGAGGTTTTGTGTTCTAATAAGTATTTTTGATTCATTTTGTGTGAACTTTAATGTCTGTATTTGCCTTTTGTTGCGCTTTCTCATCAATAAAAATAGAAAAAATGGCTCCTAAAGTGAAGTAAAGTGACACCAGCAAACAAAACGAGAGTATTTTAAAAAGTTAACTAATTAAAGTGTTTGATTTTTCCATTATCACATCTCTTATTGCACTGACAGGCTTTTATGGGTTTAACAGAGATTTTATGGGAACTCTCATGGTTGTTTTTCTTCACCATTACGCACGTTGGTAATTGAGTTTAAGTTAATTATTCCCGTTAATTTTCTGCATCCTTTCAGTTGACGGTGACTTGACGCTGCGCATACAGAGCCTCGGCCCCAAGGCACTCTTTAGTAAACGCTGTGTAACTCATAAATCCACGGCAATTAGCATAATTAGGCTTAAATCAGAGCCCGAGGCGTCGTGACATTGTCCCAAAAAAAGGGAGCGTTTATGTTGAATTTAAAAACTGCATTTAAACAGAAAAAAAAAATAAAAGATTCCGTGTTTGAAAAAATAATACAAAGAAACAGTGACGTGAACAAATAATTATAATTCTTTTTCCTCACACACACACGCGCGCACGGTGGCCACCTTTGACGCGTCAGGCCTGCTGATAAATGAAGACTTGGAGGCTATTTGCAGCCACATTAAACTGGAGCCCAACTGGGGATCCGCTGCATATTTCACCGCAGACCTGTCACGCGTCTCCGTCAAGCCTCCGGGCGTCTCCAGCTGACCTGGGACCCGCCACAGATTGAAATAAAAAAAAAAAAAAAACAGGGGCCAGCTTCCCCCCCCCCTCGAACAAGTCCAGTCCAAGTCTCAGGCAGCAGAGTAAATGTTTTCTCGCACCTTCTGTCTGCGCAGCCTCCGGAGGGCTGACTGCGTTTAACCTCCACAGCCAAGAAACTCTAATGAATTACTAATAAACTGTGAAATTAAAAAAAGAAAGAATGACAGGAAATTTATTTTGAATGAAGGTGAGAAAACAAAAATTATGAGAATTCATTTAACCTAAATATTTAGTTTTATGTCATATCATTACTTTAAAACAATTTATTATTATTATTATTATTATTATTATTATTATTATCATCATTATTATGCAGGAACCGAGTGTCACAATTACAAATTAAAAGCACAGATTTAAATGTTTAAATAACAACTATAACAAAAGGCCTCATAATTTATCAAATAAAAGCAGTAAAATGAAACTAAATTATATATATTTTAAAATTTCTGTGGCACATCTGTGCTTCATTTTATTTATAATAATAAAAAGACAAACATGTTGTATTTTCATTACTGAACTGAATCGACAAGTTATTTCAGTTTCATTTTCTTCGGACTCAAACTAAACTTGTCAAATTTCTCGCTGCGACGCTGTAAATTCTAAAATATATATTTGTTTTTTTCTGAACATTTTTGATCAAATTCTAACTTTTTTTATGCTATTTTATTTTTTATAATAACAGTTTCAAACCAAGATTGGCGTCTTTTTGACGATTTAAATATTAAAAACGCGGCTAAACGCTCGTTTTCTCCACAATTTCCAGTTTTAATTAAACGTCTAACATAAAATCAGTGTTCTTATAATTTATTATTCTTTTAGAAATCATCACAAGTCGTTCTGCAGGAGGAAGATTTTTTTTCTGTGGTTCTTGCTTTTCACCTGTTGCCATTTTAATTCATCCGGCCACAACAAACAATAAGAATAAAAACTATATTAAAGGTTTCGTGTTTTATTTTGTTTTTTAATGCATCTACAAGTAGAAAACAGGCTGGTTTTGTTGAGTTAAATAAAGGCCCGCTGTGTTGTGTGCAGACAGCCGCCGGCCATGCAGCACTACGGGGTGAACGGTTACTCTCTGCACGCCATGAACTCCCTGAGCGCCATGTACAACCTCCACCAGCAGGCGGCGCAGCAGGCGCAGCACGCTCCGGACTACAGGCCCTCGGTTCATGCCCTCACTCTGGCAGAGAGACTGGCTGGTAAGAATCAGTTGCTCATTTTGCTTCTAAACTAAACTTGTCCTGCCTCTGCTGCAACAGATACAGGTTAACACAGTGTAGAAATGAATTAAAGAGCATGTATGGATGAGTGAGGCTCCCCGTGACCTTTGACCCAAGCCTTAAGTCAAACTGGTTGTGCCTTAAGTTAAACTGGTTGTGCCTTAAGTTAAACTGGTCGTGTTTCTTGTTTCTCAACGGCTGCACATTTCAAGACATTATCCTAGAGGCCCGGTATGGATCCCAGCACCGAAAGCAGCGGCGCAGTCGGACGGCCTTCACCGCCCAGCAGCTGGAGGCTCTGGAGAAAACCTTCCAGAAGACCCACTACCCCGACGTGGTGATGCGAGAGCGCCTGGCCATGTGCACCAACCTGCCCGAAGCCCGAGTGCAGGTAAAGAAAAACCGCTGATGCACACTCAGTTAGATTGTAGTTTTGTTCTAGAATCGTTCCGAGGAAGTTCTGCAAAGTTCTAGTCGTGTTTTCTGCAAAATTTTCCTTCACTTCCCAGAATAAAGCTCTCTAAAGAGGCCTCTTTAAACATTTTCTGAATGTTGCATTTAAAACATTTTTCCTTTGTTATTATGTAACATTGTGGGAATGTTTTATAGAAGAACATTTTTAGAATATTGCAGGCAAAATGTTTTACATTTGTTAATATATGAAATTAGAGGAAATACATTTTGTCTTGGACGACGTCATGAAGACATTTTTTGAATGTTGGTTTCTTCTTGTATCTGACAACATCCTCCGAATGTTAAAACGTTCTCTCTTAGTTCGCTTTTAACCTCATAGGAACATTATTTGAAATGATAAATATCCCTAAAACGCTCTTTGAACATCAGATGAAAATGTTTTCTTGAAAAAAATAGTAGAACTTGTACGTAATGTTAGCCAATAAGATAAGATAAGATCAGATAAGATCAGATAAGATCAGATAAGATCAGATAAGATAAGATTAGATTTATTAATCCTACAGTGAGAAAAGCTGCATTAATGCAAGCATTTAAGGAATATCAGTAGAAAAAAAAAAATAAAGCAAAATATACTCAATTAGTAGATCTAGAATTAACAGTATTTATGTATATTTTAGGTTATTTTTATTTTACATATCTTATCTTCCCACATTCAACATCCCCTGCCTGCTGGGTTCTTGCTGTATTCTTGTATGATTAAAAGTGATAAAAACTCCTAAGTTATTCTTCTATCTAAGCATCCATGTCTTTATTTCTCTGCCAGGTTTGGTTTAAGAACCGTCGGGCCAAGTTTCGCAAGAAGCAGCGCAGCCTGCAGAAGGAGCAGCTCCAGAAACAGAAGGAAGCATCCGGAGCTGCTGAGGGCTCTCCAGAGGATTCAAAGTCTGACCTCACCACCACCACCACCAACACCACCAGCAGCAGCAGCACCACCACCCTGGTACCGGAGGCCCGAACTCCTCCTCCTCCGTCCTCCTCTTCATCCTGCCACTCAGAGTCAGAGAGGCTGGCAGCAGCAGCAGCAGCAGCAGCAGCAGCATCTCGGCCTCAGCCCGGAGAGATGAGCGTGGAAGTGAACGTCACCTCCCCCGAGCCGTCGGACAGCGAGTCAGCAGCCGAAGACAACGCTGACAGGGAGGAGGACGAGATGAGAGGGGAGGCGAGGGTGAAGCTCATTGAGGAGACGCAGGGGGAGGGAGGAGCGCCGGCGGGGAGCAGCTCCCCGTCCTGCAAACGTCTGAGCCCCACACCAGGTGAACACACCACCGGTTAAGACATGCAGCCACTTCTTTCTCCTCTAATCTGTAGTTTTATGTTGCATTTTAGGATTTAATCACACAGACATTTTTGCCAAATTGGTGCTAGTGTTTAAAAAAAGAGGAAAAATCCACATCAGATTGATCCATGTGTGGAAAAACATCCACTGTAAATCATTTCTAGTTTATTCTAGTTCTAGTTCGTTCCTCTGCAGCCTAAAAAAAGGAGTTAACTCCACTGAGGTTGACTAATTTGTTCAATTTATGAGTTGCAAAAGTGTAAATCTAGCTAAACTTGAGATAACAAGCTCAATAAACTTAAGATATTAAGTTGAATCAACTCGTCACATGGAGAAGAGCTGCAGACAGAGTTTCTTTTCTTTTGCATTTGTTGTAGAGATTTCTTTCCTTTATTTAACATTTGCAACTTTTTGACTGCATTTTTGACCAGAATCAATCTAATTAAGACAAAGGTTCGTACAGAATCCTTTGTACTAACATTCAATATTGAGAAAAAAATAACAACTACTACTTAATTTACCAAAAAGACACAGCAAGTTTTCGTCACGTTTGTTTTCTCAAATTCTAAAAAACTCTCCTCAGAGAGTTTTAACTCCACAACAATGCATCCTGGGAAGTCTGCTGATGAACTACACTGAATAAAAGAGACTAATTGGATCAACTCAAATGAATTGCTTCTATTGGTTACACACATATAAATAAAGTTTATATAAAACAAGCAACAAGTAGTATTAATGCTACTGGTTTAAGTTAGATGTACTTAAAAGTGCAACGTCATTTTTCAACTTGACGTTTCTAGTTTGTCTAAGTTAAATATATGTATTGGGCATTTACTCAAACATTAGGCTGTTTGTTCTTCTCTTTTCTCCGTAATCTTATTCAAAGTAAGTTGAGTTGCGGCACAGAAATTTGAAGAAACATGAACATTAGACACACGAAGCTAAAGAGTTTAAAAGCACAAAGTGTAGTTTAAGTTTGATAGAATCCACTAAAGTAAAGCAGAAAGATAAGTGAGATTAAATCAAAACAGTAACTTTACTTCAACTACAGCTCAACTATACTTTTTACAGTGTAGTTTTTTCTCTTATAAACTTAATTTAATGAGTTGACTGAACTGTTCATTCATTTTCCGTTAAGGCAAAATGTATTAAGTTATAGGAATTCATGTAGTGAATTGGTCTGAAAATAAAATTAAAACATTTGAAGTTTAATTAACTGGAAAAGTTAAGTTGATTTTACTGATATCCTCTGTGATGTTTTACAGTGTACTAAATCCTCTCTTTCTGTCCGTCAGACTCTCCCCTGAGCTCTCCAGCTTTGCCGTCCTCCAGCAGCGTAACCAGCGGTTTGGCTCAGAGCAACTCTTACGCCTCGTCCCCCCTCAGCCTCTTCCGGCTGCAGGAGCAGTTTCGGCAGCACATGGCCGCCACCAACAACCTGGTGCACTACCCATCCTTCGACATGAGCACGCCGTCCTCTCTGCCCTACCTGGGCATGAACGTCAACATGCCTTCCCCGCTGGGCTCGCTGCCCTGCCAGTCCTACTACCAGACGCTGTCGCAGGCCCAGCAGGTGTGGAACAGCCCGCTGCTGCAGGCGGCACCAGGCAGCCTCCCGGGAAGCCTCAACAGCAAGACCACCAGCATCGAAAACCTCCGTCTGAGGGCCAAGCAGCATGCAGCCTCGCTGGGATTGGACACGCTCCCCAACTGAAGCTGCTCATTCTACGTGCTGGGCCTCTAAGGCAGAGACGTAGCTACGAACCACGGCCTCCGTCCACAGGAGGCCACTCTGGCTCCCCACCACCTGCACAACAACTGGGTTCACGCGCCTCGAAAAACTTATCAGAAATATCTCAAAAAAAAATTTTGCAACTCAAATAACTGTCTGATCGTTTGTCCACATTGCAAATTTGTGCTCGTATAGTTTAATGGAACTGCTCAGAATGTTTTGTTTGCACTTTTGTCAAATGAATCCGATTTCAAAACCAGAGCAGAATGATAAACGGTACAAAAGAAATATTTAAAGGCATGAAGACCAGAACATGTGTGTTAGAGCAGTCACTTACCTCAGCTTGGGGCTCACATATTCTCCATCACCTCACATGGGCATGCAGCTCAATGCTGGAAGCAAACCAAAACAGGAAGAACATCTCAGCTGGATGGACTTAACAGAAAGTAAGAATAAGACAAGAACTCAGTGGACTCAATGAACAAAAAAAAAACAAAAAAACATAACCTCCATGTGGACTGCAGTTGTGACTGAGCAGACGGTTTTCTTGTGGGACTTGCTTGTACTTGATTCCAACGGCATCAGCCAGTTCTTCTAATGCTTGTTGCTCGCCATGACTTCAGCCTCCTCTGTGCAGTCAGAGAGAAAGTGTCATTCCAGGACATATATGCGATATTAAAGTATCCTATAATCCCACGAGAACCCCTGAACTATGCATGCATGCACTCCTGTGAAGCATGGCTTACAGCCGCACAACTCCATTGTTGATTTAGGATCTGATATCAGAAGTTAAGCTCAGATCGGTCGATGTAATCCCCCAGCGAACAACTCTTTTCTTTGCAGACGATCAACGACTCTCCTTGTTTAAAATTACAGCCTGCAAGAATCCACTGAGCTCTGTAAATATCCCTCAGTGTCCGCCTCCACAGTTAAAGAGTTAACTCCGTGTCTCCTTTTGTGCAAAGGAATATTCAATTTATTTTCCAATTAAGCAAAGGACCTAAAAAAACAGGAACAAAATAAGGGGAGAATCTACAGATGAGGCACAGTGACAAATAAATACGAGCCCCAGCCGACGTATATTTTAGTTCACTCGGGTGCCAGATTGAACTTTTCCTGAGGCTTCAGCAGAAAAAAAAAATTGCACAGGCCAATTCTCTATGTATTATATCACTGTACAGAACCAAGACATGTATTTCTCAGTTGTTTTAAATGTGAGTAATTTATCTGTTTAATGCAAGGGAATAAATCACACATAAGAATGACTCGTGTTCACGGTGTCGTCAAAGTGTTTGTGTGTACTTGCTCATGTTTGAAACCAAATAGGGACATTATCTAAAAAAAGGAGTTGAGAAATCATCACACGAAGGGAAAACTGAAGGAAACTATGTTGTATTTTTACCTTTGTTAGCTAAAAGATGAGTCAGACAGAAGACTAGATGAGCAATTCACATTTCAAAGCAGGAATAATCACACAGAAGGACATTTAGTTAACATACAAACCTGTAATTTTTTTCCAAAGTTAGCAGCAAAACAGGGATGAGATGAAACTCTAAAAAAAAAAAAAAAACACAGCTCTGATTTCCACACACATCACCTTCAACACTTCATGGTGAAAATTTAATTTGGATTTATACTAAAGACACCTTGAGGATCCGTAAATAATTTAGACACAGGGGGTCCACCGTCCTCAACAGGGAGGTTTACACACCACATAGGGGAGAACCTGCCACTTGTTCACCCGATGCAGAAGAACTAATCCTAAATGAAGTGACTGAAGCACAGTGTCAGACTCTAAAGAGCCTCCAATCCACCATCCACCCACCCTCTCCCCTCTTCCTCCCCCCACTCCGCCCTGTCAGTCGAGGTTTGGCTGCACCGAAACAGAATGCTTCGCCGTAAGAAGATTACCTTTGGTTGGGATATCGATGGATTAAGTAAGAATAGAATGAGATAAAATGGGCCTGAAAGGGTTTCTGGAGTCAGCAAAGTTCAGACACCTGTTTATTCCTTCTCTGTCCCGCTTCCTCACTCCATGACCGTAAAGATTATATCGCTTTCTAAGTGGAAGGGAAGGGAGGTGAGAGGGGTGGGTGGTGTAAAACAGAGGGGGAGGTTACAGCGCGTTAAAAAAAAAATAATTTTGGAGGGTGCCGAGATGATTCTCAGCAACACCTTTGGGTTATTTTCAGACGTGCTCTTTAAATATGTGGTCAATTTGTCATGAACATCTGGGTTTTGTGTGTTGGTAAAGATGGTGCGGGTGTAAGTTAATGGGAATGGTGTGTTTGTGTTAGTGTGAGAGTGTGTCTATGGCAGCTAAGCCGCTGAGGGTTTCCAGGAGCTCTTTGATGTGTATCTGGGCAATGCGCTATTAGAGGGATTTTCCTAGTTGACAGCTCAGAGAATGTGTGGAGGAATTGCGATGCCAGCAGGCTAAAAGAATGCTGGAAACAGGATTAGGATCATATTCTGGCAGCTCCTGTCACTTCATCAATGGGCTAAGGTTTCCTCAGTGACAGCCCTCCTTCTCTGCCCGGCTAAAACCTTTAGTGGGACCATAAAAGGGGTGAGAGAGGGGAAAAAACAATGATTGAATGGTGTGCTATGATTTCTGTGCCGGGTTTGCTCTGAGGGCTTTGTGTTGGGAGGTCTGAGGGGGGGACTGCGCTGATTTGGAGGGAGGGGTAGGTCGCGGGGATGAGAAAAAAAAAAAAATGGGGGGGCTTTTGGGAAATGGGGTGGGGGCGACTGTGGTGGGGCTTTTTTTTTTTTGGAAGTTTTACATCCAAATCCAAACACACTGATGCTAGCGGACAGGGACGGCGGTCTGGTGTCCCCCAGGGGAGGACAGCAGCAGCAGCAGGTGGGAAGGAAGAAAGCCGTTTGTGCAGGATCCACTGTGTATAAGCCCTGCCTGTCGACGGCCTCTTTCACTCGGTGATGGCACAGCTATTTAGATAGGCTGTCTCATGTTGTAGCAATTAACTTATGCTCTTGTGATCAAACAAAACCAACAATGAATTGATCTTTTTGTGACGCAGATACAGTCGATTGTCTATAACTGTGCCATACAAGTAAACACCACTGTTGTCGAAAAACAACAAAAATTAAATTTTCCCCACTTGGTGACATGTTCTTTATGTTGAAATAATCTCACATGCCACATCCTACTGCTGCAAATACTGTTCAGCACGGAGCGTCAAATGTTTATTACTCCACAGTCGAAATTAGTCCCCAGCAAAATTTAGTCGTATTTGATAAGATTTGCTAAAATCTGCAGTGTTCAGATGGACTGGTGACCAGCCCAGGGTGTCTCCTGCCTTCACCCTGAGTCAGCTGGGATAGACTCCAGCCCCCTGTGACCCTAGTGAGGATTAAGCGGTGTGTAGATAATGGATGGATGAATGGATGTAGTCTTTAGCCGTTGTGGAAAATGACTTTCAAAAATAAAAGCATACACTTGCATCTGATTCTTCCATATGAACTAATTCGCTATGGGTCACAGATGTTATTTTTAAAAAAAGGGTCAAAAAAGTACTGAGAGACCAAGCAGCAACCACGGAAAAAAATAAAGCGCAAGTTCCAAAAACTGCAGTTCCTTGCATGGCCACTTGGGGTTGACTCCAAAAGTGAGTCTGTCGCCATAGACCCCCATGTTAAAATGTCCAACTTTACAGCAAAAATAAACACGTGTACAGTCTGGTATAAAAATGATTTTGGTCTCTATGGCTAATTCTCCCACTTATGATGATTGTATGATGAGTACATTTTTATATAACTCACCGTTTTAATTGTATTGAGGGTTGAAAACATGCTAAATTAAAGGGATGGCTGCTTTGAACAACATATAGGTGCTACTATAGTAAAGTCTGTGGCACAGAAATGTTTGCATGGCCGCCCACCTTTATAAACAGTGAATGTGAGAGTCAGGTTAATGCAGCTTTAGTTATTACCAGTTGGATCATGTAGATATATTTGTCCAGGACCATACACAAAGCAACAAAAACTACAATTTTCAAAATAAAAGGGGTGTTTTCTGCCACATTTACCAACAAGCTTTCCATCTAGTCGACACAAACACATCCTTACATGTAAATCTCGTTAGATATTGGTAAAAGGAGACAAACAGACGTCAAGTACGCGATTCATTTTTAGATATTTCACACATCAATGTAGCACCAAATGATTTCATGTGACAGTGGTTGGCATGATTAAATATGAGTCCTGCATGTGGGTGTTTGTGAGTTACATTAATACAATTAGTGATGCAATAAAGAAACTTAATCTGTAAAAGTTTGGACAAAGAGCTCCCATGTTCAGCTTCTTCTGTTTTACTCTCTTACAAAAGCCTTTCTTTGTGCTTCATGTAAACTGGTGTGTTACCATGTCTGAGAGCACGAGACTCCTGCAATGAGGCTCGTGCATGAATATAATAACTATTGTAGACACTGCACACACGCTGCATTCTGAATCCCTAACACCTGGCCAAGATTATTAAATGCTCTTTCTACATATTACTCACCGTGTTCAAGAGAGTCATTTGTGCCCCAAGGTTGAGCATTTTGAGAGGATTTTGAAGCTCATGTTCTCCAGTCGGGCCTGACGTTGCGCTGCAGAGTGGCTGCTCTCGGCTGGGCTTTTCGGGTGGTCTCTGCCACGCATCTTGGACCGTCTTCCTCCATCCTGCCAGCAGACAGCACCAAAACACCTCCCCCCCACCCCCCAAAGTGTAACTCCACACTTTGCTCACCCATGTGAAACAATACTTTCACAATACCACAGGAGTTTGATTGTTGGCGACAAGTTATATAATGCCAGGAATTACAGACTAGCATGCAAATGCTAAATCCTCCTCTCTTTCTCCTGAGAAGTGGATGAGACGGACTGTATCTGCAGGCTTCACTCCGGCTCCCCAGCTTTGTGCTACGGAGACGCTCTCCTTTCTCCCCCTGACTTGGGTGATAATCCTGACACGCACTGTCTGCATTTTTTACTGTACGTGTTTAAGCGCATTTGCAGAGCATTTATCTCTCCAATGTAAACCAATTTGGCTATAAGGGCCTTGGGCCAAGCAAGGCGCTGGAGGGAAGAAAGGAAAACTCAAACCTAGCAGATGTGCAGAGAGGGGAGGATGGGAGAGTTGGCGAGGACGCGGGGGTTGATGAACAACTGAATGCTGCGAAAAAAAACAGGCAAAGCGGAACCATGTGGGAGAAAAAGAGCGTCCCTTGTCCGAAGGGTAAGCTTTTGAAACTTGGGATAGGGGCCTTTAAAGCCGATAGAATGTGGATCACTGAATTGTTGAGTCACAGAATCTGAGAAAATCATAGGGAGCTCGCCGTTAATCCTGTCATAGTGAAATCGGTGGGCATACTTTGAGGATCCCAGCCCCATCTGAAGAAATTTGGAGCCTGCTGTATTGACAGAGCTGCTGTTTGATACCGCCTATACACCTGTATCAGCTGTCTGTTAATCTGCCTTCCCCTCCTCCCACTAGTCCTCCGCAGCACGCCGCCTCTGCTGGTAGTAATGGCTGATGAAATGGACCAAAGACCTAAAAGCTGCCAATCTTGCTGCTTCTTGATGTCGTCTGTAAGTGGCTCTGGTTGCAGGGTGAACTTGTCACTTTGATCATCTGAAAAGGCAGGAGCCCCGCTGTGTCAGACATTACTACCTGCAATTCTGCCGAGCCATAAAGACTATGGGCTCCTTGGTCCCTGAAATGGGACATTAAGACAGAATCATCCTAGTTTAGTTGTGGCGATATCAAGGTGTTTTATTTGCTGGCACACAGGCAGGGTCTGAATGTGTTTGGATGGCTTTTAAAGTACCTGATCTTATAGCCTAAGGTTCCTGTAAATGAGGTGTTTGCTGCTCTTATCAATGAGACGTTACATGAGAAGGACGACTCGGCGTTTCAGGGCCGCTGGATGCTTCTGCTGCACGATTACAGCAGGCTCAGCTTTGGCCAGATGCCCTCTACATCAAACTTCTCAAACTCTTTCACTCACTTTCTTTTGCAAGTTTTGGAGCTGCAGCCTGATTTTGCATCATTTATTCCATCGGCAAAACATAATCACAGTGCTGACGGTGTTTATACAGACGTTTTGTATAACATAACATTTGACAATATTAGTTAAAGTGTTCTTAAAGACCCCGTATAGTAGAAATCTTGGTTTTCTTCACCCTCTTATTAACATGTTCATGTGGTGTTTTTTTATATGAGGGCAGACAGTCATTTGTGAAGTAAGCAAACAGTAGGGCTAAACATTCCCACCTTAAAACTGGAGCCTACACTGTAAAAATGTATGTGTTTAACTTAGTTTAAAAAAAAAGAAAGAAATTACAGCTATTTTACATATTTCTCCCAATTTTGTTAGATTACAGATAACTACTAAAATTATAGAAAAAAATTATCTGTAAATTGTTTTGAAATAAACAGACAAAAACTGTATAATCTCAACATGAAAAAATTATAATTAAAAAAATATATATAAAAATAATTATCTCACAGATATATGCTGTTATTTAGAAAGATGAATTATTTATATTAAGATTAATCATTAAAAAATAGATTCAATAGTGTAAAAAGAACACAAAATTACTTTTTAATTATTACTATTTCTTTTTACTGTATTTAGTTCAGATAAAAATATCACTAATTTACAAATATTTGTCATTATTTTCACTATTTTGTAAAAGTTCTTTTGAAATGTTACAGTACACAACAAGTTCTGTCAACTTGCAGAACGTGAGCAAAGAGTGGTTTCACAGTGCTTGAGCAGGAGTGGGTGAGCTGGTGTGCTCGTGCTGCAGCAAGTAGCGCGAGGGTGGGTGGAAACTGAGGACTTCATAGATCTGCACATTATAGAGAAGAAAAAAAAACAGTACAGAGCTACACTGGAGCCATTTAAAGGCAGGAGGAGATTATTTACATGGAAAATATGTCACTTTGATACACAGAGATGAGCTTCTAGGGATTAAAGTAATGATTGAAGAGGGACTTTAAAAAGTTAACATTTTGTTGACTTTGGTGCTCTCATGTAGGAGAAGAAGAGTTCTGTTTTCTGTTCTACTGACTATAATGAATACACGTGTGTTCTTAGTGTAAATACTGTTTTTAAAAAAGTGTTTTGAGGATGTCTCTTATAGGTGTTCATAGTATGTACCCTCAGCCATTCAGTACACACTTACTAGTGCTACTCTACCACCGATGCACATGTATCTATACTAACTGTCCTCTTGTCTTGAACGCCGTTTTTCTGATGCTCCCTCAATAGTCATGTATGAAATAAAAAGCCGTTACTAATAACAGCTACACTGTTCTGTTTAATTAGTCCAACAGCAAGTCAGAATGCACAATAACAAGATGCTGAAACCGAAGAAGCTAAATGGAATGCAGCCCTCATTCTTTTTATTATTTACACCTGTAGTGTGTTAAAGGTCTATTTAAAGAAAAACAACTTTATAATGCCATACACAAAGGAAGATATGGAGGATTGTAGGTTTATGTTTTCACCAATGCTCCCATCCAGGAATCATTTAATACTAAGGAGAGACGTTGTGCTTTAGCCTTGTTTTAATGTTGTGATCTGGGTTTCTGCTATCAATCTTTTTTCACATTTATCAAGTAGAGTTTACTTTAGTTACCAGTTAATATGTAAATTTATCAGCTAGAAATTCCAAATTTTTATGAGTCAAAAAGTTGCCATAAACGGCACAGTTTTAGTATTTAAGTTTACATTTTGCAAAAGCAGGTTTTGTTTAATACATATAAAAGATTAGACATATCATTTTTGACGCTTTTAAACTACCGCTCTGTGTAAATAATGTTTAAATTGATTTTAACGTGTACAATACAACACGCAAACGACTGCCATATTGTAATTGGTTCATGTATCTAATGGGCCAATTTGAAGTCTGAGATGCTGTGAGTGTGTGTGTGTGTGTGTGTGCGACATTACTTCTGTCTCAGATCCTGAGGGATTTATGAACAATGTCAAGTTCCCTCTGAAGACCTGAGTCTCTTCACTGCCTCTTAAAGCTTAATGCTCCCTGACTGAGTGGCACAGCGAGAGCCACACACTCTCCCTCTATGTGCCGCAGATAATGCTAAGAACAACCTCTCAATTCCAGCTCTCCTCCGCGCCTAATGTGCCCTCCTTCCCCTACTGCATGCACATGGCCATTTCCTTTCGGCGAGGCAGCGGCGAAAACGTGGGCGGCCGTAATGGAAAACACTAACATTGTCCCTAATGGCTTCCCATCCCAGGAGAGTTTTTAAAACATATGTAAATTTATGTAAACCCAACAGAAACACATATTTACAATAGCACAGGGTAATCACAATATGACGACATGGTGCGCTGGCCTTGCAGATGGAGGCGCCATGTGTCATTAGTCGCCTTTATCTCTTTTCTGTTTCCTGTTATGGCGTCGGCGCAACAATCACTCACGGGAAGAAAGAAAATGATCTGTGCTCATCTGTGGCACAGTGATGGAGGGTAAAGAAGGAGGTGAAAGGAGAGACGTCGTGCCTTGAAAATAAACCTATTCACACCAAGTTAGTTCATTACATATTTAATGCAACTGAACAGTGTTTTCTTACAGGTTTAAAAAGCCTGAATATCCAAAACAAACAACAAAAATGTACCGAAACTAGTGATGGAGACGTGCAGATGAAAGAAAAAGTGGCTCATGTCTTCCCCAGTAACACTTTTAACATTACAACATGTGACAACAAATGCCTGGCGTGAAAAAGTAACAGCAGTGGTCGTTGTGACAAATCAGTTTGTGTTATTCTCATTCATGACAGAACGCTGTAGTGGAAAGTGAAAAGACAACCCAGCATTTCCCCACTTATTGTGAATCTTAATTGTCAACATTTGTTCCCCGTGTGGTGTCTCTTTGCCAAGTGGTGACATGAATCCAATGTGCTCCTGTTCATGCTGTACTGCGTAAACGAGGCCGATGGTGGCGAAACAAAACAAAGATTTGGCTTATTTCACATGTTTGTGTCCGAATAGGATCATGGATTTCATAAAAGAACATTTTTAAAAAGAATCACATTACCGTGGCAGGCAATATGTTACATTTAAAAACTTTAATAAACTAAGTACAACATAAGTTAAATAAAATGTTATAAAGTTTGCTAAATGAGTCAAAACACTGATGCCTTCCTGTGAAGAGCTGACACGTACCCAACATCCTTCTAGAGTAAAGCAGTAAAATTCAAAATACAAAAGATTTTAAAATGACAAACTCCTGTTTATCGTCATTAGTTTTGTTTTGACTCTTTCATATTTCTGTGTGGTTAAAAGCTATCACGTTCTGTGTACTTCAATATGCCAATATATTTAAAAAGGGGACCTTCATGTGTAATGTGAACATGCGTGTTCACATTTACCCTCAAGTCTATTTTTTCTTTTTTTTGTCCCACCTGTGGGATCCGGACACTCAGCAGACTTTACTTTCTGCTCTGTTTGACCAGCTGTTCCACCTCCTTCATGAAGCGCAGGCAGAGCTCATCCTGCCACGGCAGGGCGATGCACTGCACCGCCACGGGCAGACCCTCGCCTCCAGTCACCGCCTGGAAACAAACACAGGCTCCTGTCAATCAACAATCAGGACTCAACACGGTCATCTGCCTCCACCTACTGGACAACAGTGGAACTTCTGTTTTAGAGAGATGCTAAAAATGGCTTGATGTGAAATTTTGGACTAATGTACAGGAACATAGAGTGGTGAACAAAAGTTTACATACGCTGGTTGAGGCCATGTATATAATAGAAGTCTTGAGTTTTTGAGGACTCCATCCATTTCTATACACCGCTTAATCCTCACTAGGGTCGCGGGGTGCTGGAGTCTATCCCAGCTGACTTAGGGCGAAGGCAGGGGACACCCTGGACAGGTCACCAGTCAATCACAGGGCTACACTTAGAGACAGACAACCAAGCACACTCACATTCACACCTACGGACAATTTAGAATCATCAATAAACCTCAACATGTTTTTGGACTGTGTGGGAGGAAGCCGGAGAACCTGGAGAGAACCCACGCTGTACGGGGAGAACATGCAAACTCCACGCAGAAAGATTCCAGTGCCCCCACCGGGACGTGAACCGGCAACCTTCTTGCTGCGAGGCAACAGTGTTAACCAATTGCGGTCCAAAACCATGTTGAGGTTAATTGGTGATTCTAAATTGTCTGTAGGTGTGAATGTGAGTGTGCTTGGTTGTCTGTCTCTAAGTGTAGCCCTGTGATAGACTGGTGACCTGTCCAGGTGAACCTGCCTTCACCCTGAGTCAGCTGGGATAGTCCCCCGCTCTTTCTTTGTCCATGTCATCAGCAGCAAACTTAAGTTGAGCTTTAAGGTGTCAGTTCAAGAGGAAGCGTGTTCTTGTATTGCAGCTTCTGAGACAATGTTGGTGTAAAACAAACCTGACTGTGGACACTGACACTTATGTTCCAGCAGCTCCTAATTCATTGCAGATCCTTGGTTGACTCTTGACCATCCTGATCAACTGTCTCTCGGCAGCAGGTGATAGTCTGCGTTTTCTTCCTGGTCATGGCAGTGATTCAATTGGACCATGCACTTTATATTTACAAACAATTGTTTGCACAGATGATTTAGGGATTTGTAGCTGCTTTGAAATGACTCTTAGTGACTCCCCTGACTTGTTCAGCCAATTGAAATTGGCATAAAGAAGTCGCCAACTATATTAAACAGTTATCACTCACGAGAAGATAAGAAGCCATTAATCCAGCTTTCTAGATCACCAAAACTGATCAAAGTTGTACCTATATTTTAGACACAGTAAAAGTTATATTTCAAGAAGACCTATAATAATTCTTTAAAACTGCATGGCTGTGTTTTGTGGAAAAAGACCCAAGGCTTTCAAAGATTCCATCATAGGGTTTGTAAACTCAAGACTACCAGTTTACATGGTCTATACAAGTGTATGTAAACTTTTGTTCACAACCGTATGTGTGTGTCTGCATGTCCACAAGGAGGTGCACGACAACAAAAAAGAAGACAAAACACCACAAAGACATGAACTGATGAAGCCACACTGCCTCCATGTGGGAGCTGTAGGAGAGTCTTTAACATATCTAAATTCAAAGACCTGCTGTTTCATAATCACACACCCCACCACACTAAACGTGCCCATGCATGAGTGTGATGAGTACACTGAAAAACTGCTTCATTGAACTGTTGCAGCTGAAACAACCCAGAATTAATTAGTCATACAACTTCTTTTTTACGTATAAAATACAAGAAAGACTCCTCATTTCACCTCCTTAATTTGAAAGTTGGAAACTTTTAAAATAACTAACTTTTTTTGTACGCCCACATACACACTGCAGTAAATGGTGACACATTATAGATAACAAATACAAAGTAAACCATTACAAAGGTTGTATGTGCCAACCCGGAAATGCTTAATACTTGTTGGCACCTCCTTATTGTTGCTTAATGCAACCATTTGTGTCGATAATAACTTTATTTGTATAGCACAAGGTAGGACATCCAGCTTGCTGAAAGGCAATAAAAGGGGAAAACCTCCAAGATGGGTAAAGACGTTTTATAGGTGCTGTTGGGCAGTCTTGTTTTTTGTAAAACTCCTTTTTTAGTCACTACTCCTGCCCTGGTAGGTGTTACTTACTTCTTTGAAGTACTTGTCAGACATGTCCTGGTAGTAGCCCTTATAATGCTTGAGCTCCTCTTCATCCTCTTTTGTCACTGTGGTAACAGGAACCACTCCGGCAGGGAAGTTGAGGAGATTGTAAAGCATTGTTTGTGTGATAATGGCTGAAAAGAAAGAAAATGTAAATAGATTATCCACAATGTTACAGCAGGTGGTCTATTAATGATGCCACTGTTCACATCAAAAATGTGTTACAATTAGCTTACTAGAAATCTTGCCGCAGTATAATAAGTTGTAGGCTGGTGTGATCACAGGGTAGAGCAGCACATCTATGTTGCATCTCCTCCAATGTGCAATGGTGTCTTTGATGTAGTCCTAAAGAAAACAAAGTGGAATTCAGTTTCCCCTTAATGCATTCATACATAAGCAGGAATCACTAATAATAAACAGCCAAACATACCTCACCAGCAGCATGATGCTTCCACAGCTCTGAAACAGATCTAAAAAAAAAGACAGAAAGAATTTTTGGAATCTTGCTAATCATGTGTAATGTATGAAAACATATTAACTAATTTCTGAATATTTTCTCACCCAACTCCACAGAGAACTCTCAAGGCGGTTGACACACGAGGAAGCTACACGACAAAATTGTGGCACCAACAAACACCTTATTACATCCTTATTCTGGAAAACATCCTACTCAAGAGCATTGGTTGTTTTTTTTGTCTGTATTTATATGTCTCCGTCACAGATAGAGGGAACTCACCCAGGGCTTGAGGAGAAATGAGAGGGTTTTCTTTAACCAGTTAGGGAGACGGTAGGGAAAAAATTGTCTTTTAAGAGTAGGATCCAAAGGGCACCTTGACCTAAAACAAACAACAGACTTGTCAGCTCCTGTTCTTAGTTCTTGTTTGCGTAATTCAGTGTGAACCACAGTTGCTGATCAACTGACAGAAAAACACGAAAAAAACTGAATTATCCATCACATTCCATTAAATTTGAAGGCATCACCTTGAGTCATTGGACCTCAATAAAAAGATATTTACACCATCTTTTGAGTTTCTGACACGAGTGCTGAACAATTACCAGAGGAGCTAGGTTAACAACAATTGATGCGCTGAATTTAAAAAAAAAAAAGACATTTCAAAAAGAACAACTCACAGTTTTTGCAGCAGGGTGGTAGCTCCGTCTGCAAATAGACCTTGTAGCATCATTTCAAATGCAGCTTCTACCCTCAGAGGCTGGTAAGGCACCAACTAAAGGGACAAAGGACCACATAAACAAAATATGGTTCATGTCACATATTTCATGCGGCTGTGATCATATTGTGTACGTGTGTTGTGTTGCCTTACGGTGTGTCCTGCTTGCTCTAGCAGAGCTTTGACCTCTCTGACAGCACGAGTCATGCTTGGAGACGGTTGTTGGAAGCCATCGTTTTCTAGGTAACCAATCCTCAGAGGTTTTGTGCTCTGGTACATCTAAAGACAAAACATGCAGACAAACAGCTTCCTTTCAAGGACAAGACATTCTCCGTCTGTAAGACAGCTGAGTGGAAGTGCAAACAGGTTGTTTCTGTGTATAAGTAATAGATATTTGTTAGCAGAAGGTTTGGGACATGTTCACCTCAAGAGTTCAGTTAAGTTAAAATGCAGAAAACGGTTAACTCTCCAAACAATATGTGACTGACCTGGTATGTGTGCTTCAGCAAACAGTCACTTTTAAAATGATGATAAATCAGTACAAACAGGAATATATTCATCCATCTCCTGCACCTTAGAGACATCATCGTCACTGCTTCTCCCAGAGAAACTGGAACCAGATCTCATCAGCGCTTTCTTTTTAACCAAGCTAACTTTTAAATGCTTACCCACAAATGTTAGCAGCATTATTTCATTCCTCCCTCATTACCAGATGACATTTTAAATTACAATTAAATAAACATTCCTGTTGTGCATCCATACAGCACAGACATGTGAAGAGACCTTATGCGAAGCTAGGCCAAAGACAGAGACACTGAAGTTGGCTAATAAGATCTGGATCAATGTCACCGTGTCAGCGACTGTGAAAATGCTTGAGGTCTGAGTTTTGCGCATGGGGCACTGCGATGGTGAAACTGGAAAGCGCTTTCCCCGATTTGCTGCCACATATTTGGAAGCAAACACTTACAGTAATAATTTGACCAATGGCAAATACACTTGTTCGCTTTCTGGCAGACAGTTTGATTAGAGGATTAATGCCACACTCCAGTGGTAAAAATGTAGCTGTAGCCAGTATCCTGTTGGCTTAGCTTTAGACAGGGGGAAACAATTAACTTGGCTCTGTCCATTGCTACCAAAACCTGCCTCCCAGCATGTTTAAACGTAATAAATAAGTTAAATCTTGTTTGTTTAATCTGTACTATTGTACATTTACCAGACAAACTCTTGCCAAATAACCTTACTTCAAAAAAAACCCTCACTATTACATGTCAGTTCTTGTAAGTAAGTAACAAGTCAAATCAATGTTTAAAAATTTAAGAGGACACACCTGCATATTAAAATGTAATGGTGGAACAGTGGGGTCCAAGGAAAACATGTGATCACTGAGAAAAACCTGCATAACCAGAGCAAGACTGTCCACATCCCGCGCCATGGGTCCAGGACTTGACAGCACTAAAAAAAAAAACATAAAACAGTGAATCAAATGTCCCTGGCCAAACATGTGATCGGCTATGCTGATGTAACTGCATTGGCAGCGGCAGGTATATGTCCTTACCTGACTTTTGCCCCCTACAGGTGCTTCGAACACCCCATGAACTGAAAATGATGCAAAGAAGTTCAACACGTAAGCAAACCAGGTTACAGGTACAGCATATGACTGAAGACATATACAAAACACCCTTTAACTTAGTGGTTCTACAAGGCAATTTACAATTATTCATCTATTTGCTCACACCCCAATT